GACGAAAATTGGACACCATCTGTCCAAGTAAGAATAAAACGACTCATGTCCAAAGTCGACCTATTCGCTAATGAAATGCAGACTGTGCCGGTGTCAGCTTGGGAGTGAATCTCCATTTCAACTTTATTCTGCAGAGTTTCGGCACTACTTCCTAACCGGGACGAAAGTTCCAAGTCTCGATAATTTGCCCATTTTCAATTCGCCAGTTCCAAAGTTTTCCGACTACTCAAATAAGAACAAATATATCTGCTGTTCACAGAAATGGATAAGAAAATATGTTTTTTATAATGCAATTTTAAAGTAAACGAAACTTTTGTCTATCGCACCTTTTGCAGAAATTTCAGTTGCGTAGTTATGGCTTCTGTCTTCGAAAGAACTGTCGACGGAGAACTTTTCTTAACTTGCGCGAAAAACAAAGTTTAATAAATTTTGTTTTAGTTTAGTCGGTTAACGCCGATCTAATAGTGTGACCGTAGCTCCCTCTTTAGTGAATAGTGCGAACTAAAGACGGCAGCAGCGCTCTCTGTAGTGAATAGGGGGAACTTAATAAGAAGCTGAGCGTCCTCTTTAGTGAATAGTGTGAACTAACAGCGACCGGGGCCCCATCTTTGGTGAATATGTCGAACTAAGATGGCGCTCCTGTCAAATAAACTGTTGTTTTTAGAAAAAATCTACGAAGACTGGAATTAATATAGTTGTATTTGAAAAACTCACAGCAATAGTATTTGCTAAAAAGGCACAATTTTCAATTTTACCCAAATTTTCTGAAATTATCTAAACATATTAATTCTTCTGGTTCTGGGTGACCTCAAAATAGATATCGGGAGCCTCTGTGGAATGTATCGTGATCTATCAAAACTTCCGCTCTCTCGAATAGATATGTGGAAAATTAATGGAAAAGAAAACATAAAAAGTCTACTAAAGGAAAAATCGCCGTTGAAAAACAAAACGTTTTAACTGATATTAGTTATTAACGTAAATTAAAGTTATTAAACCGCAGTTGTTTTTTTTAAAGCCTTTCTTTGGTTTTAGGTAAAAGAACAAAAAATTATCGTCAAATTTCAGATAAAATTGTAATATTTTTATAAATAAGGACGAAATCTCTAAATTTGGTATTCTAGCTATGAAAATCCCAGAGCCAAAAAAAATTAATATTTAACATTTTTCCAAGTACTTAACCTCCACCGTAAGGTAAGGAGAGTAAAAACCACGAAAAACATGATCGCTTTACAAGAAAAAAGTCGGTCTCTGATTTTTAACAGATCACAGAATAATGCGAGAAGCGATTTAGAATAATATGAAAAAATACAGCTGAATATTAACTTCAACTCTCTTTACAGTTGCATAAAACTAATTTCGATGCCCAACAAAAGTAAATTATATCCAGCATTTTTCGGAGATAATAGTGATGATTAATTAATAAGATTCAATATGCTCAATGAAGCAATTTGGGGTCGTCGCGTTGGCACGAAAAATGTTGATGGTTAGTTTCTGCTAAAAACAAGGTTTAGCCACTACAAAGGTTAAGTAGGACTGAACTCTGTTATAAATATGCTCCACAAAGGGCTTTGAGTTTGGTATTGTTCGTTTGAGACAAAAGCGCTCATGAGTTGCGGCCGATTAACGATTAAATCTGTTTGCGGTATTACGATTACGGAATTTGCATTCCTACTGGAGTACGAGCACTTTTTACGGTAAAATGCAGCTTGTAAAGAAGCCCTTGAAAGTTGGCAAATTAGTAATATTGTTTGTGATTTGGTTGAGAGCAAGCCACTATTGCTTGCGCTGCTGAAGTAAAAATGTAATTAATTCCACAAGTCAGTTTTGCGGGATGTTAGAGCAGATCATTTATAACTCGAAGAAGAAATGCCAATAATTCGATGGAAAAGAAAAGGGCCGCGTGCTCTTGACGCCTAACTAGTGAGTTACTTTGTTTAACCAACGGAATGTTTCCAAATGTCCTTTACCCAATTTCAGAGGGATTAGGGTAGAATAGTGAGCGATGAGGATAAATTATGGCAGAAAACGTCTAAAACGCTCCATATCCCAATGCGCGGCATGTTGCGGCCTCACAAAGTGTCATCAGGTGGAAAAGAACGAACTCCAAACGCAACTGTACAGAAAATTTAAGTAATTGCCAACCTACTTTCATGCACATTGTCATGGGTGATTGTAAGTTGCTATTATCCCTTTCAAGGCAAAGAAGCTGGGGCTTACTAAAATGTGTAATTTATTCCTCGAAGATGTGAGAATATTTCAAAAGAATTCGTTGCTCAGTTGGAAAATTATTAGCTTAGCTAATAACAGTGCGTTGTTTATCACAGGCAAACTGTAACTTATGTTGGTATTGCTGAGTTTCATTGCAATAAGCACTAACATCAGACATGAGAAACTATTCAAAAGTTTAGAGCAGATTTTCCTTGATTAGTGATGAGCGAACCTGGTCTTGCACAAAAGGCAAGACAAGACTAAAACCATGCAAGTTTTGGTTTGCTCACTACAACTTTTGTAAAAAAAATTCGTATCAAGTTTGGGTCAGAATCAGTTTGGGTCAATCAGTATCAAGAAGGCGACCCCTCTAGCGTTCCATCAACTGGCACAAACACATAAACGGTGCATCATAACATCTTATATTATGAGACACATTTTTTTAAAACCGACTTTTTAGTCTGCGCCAATCAGAGACGTCCAGAACGGCACTAATAACGACATTTGGAAATTCTAGCAAAGTAAATTTTGGATGCAAACAGCAATTGGTAATTTCCACAAAGCGTTATTATATTCCAGGAGAGGCAATTTTGGTGTTTCTTAAGAGCTTTTATGGAAACGGTCTTTCTTATCTCTTTTACTTCGGCTCTGCAAACAGAGACTCGTTTAATTCCGTTTTGCGGCTTTATTAAAAACCCGTGTATTTGCGGATTATCTCTCTTATGTTATTTCCGATTAAGTTTGAACCGGTGTTTGCATTGCGCTGCAGAAATCCATTTTCATGTGCAAATTGGGTGTCGAGTTAAAAGACAATTAAAGCGAAATAAATTGGAGAAGGCTTGAAAATGTCGCGTAAACGTGTAGGCCAATTAATAATTGCCTCGAAAATCTCGGCCAGCGGCAATTCACTTTCCTAATATGATGTTCTCTTGCACCCGGGGCATCCTCCACTATTTTCGAACGGCGTTTCCATGTGGCTCGTTTTCCCGTTTCGCGTCCCTTATCCCGCCTAACTAGCACGTTTCTCTTGTGATTAATTAATTTTAATTTGATTAATTGCAGCGCCCATGTTCCCCATTACAACAGTGTTATGATGGCTCGGAAATATGACCTCTGGCTCGGTTTTGTGGCTAAGACAATGTGTGAGCTCCGCTTGAGTATCGCACATTTTTATTATAAAAATCACATCTATCCAATGAATTACTTCCATTTACCCAATTGGGGGGATTTCCATGTCAATTACATGTTTCTAATTCATAAAGTAGTAGTGAACGATTGCAATGAAAGGGCCCTACAGGGCCGCATGGTAAAACGAAAGAAAAGTACGTGTAAGCGGGAAAAGTCGCATGTTTTTCAAATAATTTGATTTTCCTCGGGCCCATGAATAATTCAGCGCGTGTTGAAATCTCTTGAGGTCCAATATGCGAGTTCAGCGTTATAATGGAAATGGGATTTCTAACCTCGATATTGTTATCGTGTGTTTAATGGGCCTCGCTTATTTGTTCGCACTGATCCCGAATAAGATAGTGAGAGTTATGTTCTTGCTTTTACCAGATTGTATTCGATTATCAGCCTCAAAGTACCAGAGTTTTTCATCCGAGCATTTTGTGCTCTACTTCGCAGAGCAGCGCTGGCGGAACAGCAACGCAACGACAAAAAAGAAGGATTTACCAGCTTTAGGCACATCATTTTATCGAGTTGTGCGACGTGCCGCTTTGTCTAGAAACACTTCGTGCGATTGGTGATTGTCGCATTATAAGGGCCATTTAATCAGATTTTACCTCGCTCTTAATTTTCAAAATTCCGTCGAACTAACCTGCAATGATGACTTTTGTAGAAATACCGAAAACATGTTAAGTTGATGACTTACAATGTATAACAATGTTGAGCATGCATAAAGCCTACATTACTTGTAGAAACTCTGAAAATCAAAAAAATGTTCCACGTGATTGAGGCCCGAAATTCACGTTGTACTGTTTATTACAAGCAAATTAATTATTCTGCACCGGCATCAGGCGTAGAAAACCATTGAAAGGTTCAGCAATTCATATTTGCCTTTCAGTTTCACCCGCTAGTCTTAATGATTTACGCATAAATCAACATACATTCACGCAGTCTCAGCGGAAAAAACCTCATTTGCCAGTGCGAATCGAATACATTGTTGCCTAATTTCTACAGTGTTTTTTTGCGAATATCTCAGTTCTCAGTGGGGATTATTACCTTCGAAACTTTTCTCTGAACTCCCTACACACCTCCAGACAAACGACCCAATTTTAAACGAACCATTTTACAAAATACCCCGTTTCCGGTCGTGTCGATTGGTAAGCTACACTTTATCTTTTCATTAGTCAAGAGTTTGCTTTGTTACCGCTTCCCAAAAGCGATTAGTGAACTGTTAAACGTCGTCCAGATGTGCTACGACGAAAAGGATCTTAGAATTGGCCTCAGGTGTCGGCAAAGGACGCTGAAGAGTTAGTCGAGAACGGGGGCAAATCATTTAAATTTACATAACTGGATAAGGCGTGAAGGGTCGGATTAGGCCCGGATTTAATTACAGCGACCACCTCTGCCAGCCAATCTCTACAAAATACTATGCCTGGTTAACGATAAAATGTGAACTATCCGGGTAATTCCCTAAACGAGCCCACGTTGTCGATCGGAAACCGAAATTCTAGCGTATTTAATGTAAAACATTAATTAAAAATTAAGGGGATTTGACATTTCACATTTATTCCATGCAATTTATTGTTTAAAAAATGACTCCTGACAAGAAAATGCTTTTGAATGCGCTCTTAACGCGACCGTTCAGTTTCCCGGCGGACTGAAGCGAGTTGAGACGCCGATAGTCCGCTGTTTCACGTCGCTGAAGCCACCTAGATCGATAACCGAGGCTCGCAAGCAAATACCGTAGGGTTTCCATTGTGAAGAAAATTAAAATGCCATTTCTGGTGATACAGACATGATCAAGCCCGTTGCCATTGTTCTACTTCAGGTAAAGAGATTACTTTTGCTTTATCACCGGCTGAGGAAAACTAGTTATTCTCAACCTTCATGCGAGGATCTAACCTTACATCGAGTAGGACCGGCCGGCGGTATCGATATAAACTCGCCTGCTGGCTGAAACTTTTTATTGACCAGTAAAACAATACAAAATCCATTCAAAACTTTAAAGATTACTCAAATAGCGATTAGTGAATAATTAGATTTCTTCAATTTCAGACACAATGTCCAGAAACACCCAGGATCAATACGGCGCCTTATTAGTGCAGCATCTGAAGTCAATCCTAGAATCTGGACTGCTTCTGGATGAGGACTATGAGGTGCTGTTGCAACGCTGCAATTTCCAAGTGCGCTCATCCCACCCAAGGCGACGCCCCTGGGAGATACTGGCAGGGGGCGTGGCCGCCTTGGTTGCTTGGAAATGCCGCCAGCCAATCATAGCCCTGTCCGCTCTGGCTGCTACTATTGTGTCCATCTGCCTCCAAAGAAGAGACATCGCCAGACGCAAAAGAAGACGGGAAATAATCGACTGCGTCCTCAAAAGCTTCCTCAAAGGTCGCAAACTAAACGCCGGTGTCGTGCGCTACTTGAAAATGAGAAAAATCGAAGACTTTGGTGCGCACATCCAGGAATTTCTAGAACACGTTGTCGGACTAAATAAGGAACACTTCGCTTTGATGTTGAAGAACATCGACCTCCTGGTCTGCGCTCAGCAGGAACTGCAACAGGACTTTGTAGAGCTGCAGCAGCTGGACCTTCACTCCCTTCTAACTCTTGATGAGCTTCGCGGGGAAAACTATCACAAATTTGCCGAGCGAGTGAACGATATTGGCACTCTATTGACCTCAAAGTACCTCAACTATTTGGGTCTCACTCTTTGCGAGTATCTATCCGACCCCAATCCATCTGTCGTAGAGCGACTTTGGGACCAGCAACTTCCCAGAGTGAGGCAACAGCTCGATCAACTCCATACCGTCCTCCAAAAGGAGTTCAATAACCTCAGATACAATGCGGCTCAAAAACTGGAAATCACCTCAGTGGTCAGCAGTTACTTTGGGCGACAGCTGTCCGGAAAGTTGCAGCAGACCGTAATGGGGGCTATAAATAATCTTTCGCTTATAATGGAACGGTCCCGGACGGTTTTGAGCAAAGTGCAGGAGATCGACGACTTGGACGACGTGAAAAAGTTGGAAACCACTTTAAGTGAGCTGCGCTGCCACGCTTTGGACACCTACGAGTCTCTAGACGTGCTTTGCAGGCTTTGCGGCATTTTGTCTCAGTCTAAGCCGCAACATGTTTCCATTCCATTGGGAAGCGACAATAATCATGGAAAAGAGTCACTCGATACCGTTCACTATGACGACGACACCGAGGTGGTTGAGGAGGATTTTGAGCTGTTTATTCCGGCAGGCCAAGAAGTAGAACCAGTGGTGATAACAGGAGAGGGAGAAGATCAATCGAGCGCCTATTTGGGGTTGATGCTCAAGGAGTTGCAGCAGTCGTTACAGCAGCATGAGCGCTTTGCTGCCGCTAGACGCAAACGAGTGGGGCCAATGATCGAAGTTCACCATCAAGTAGAAGAGAGAGAATTGCCCAAATTTGATCTCAACCAATTATCTACTAAAACCACCCCGAAATCCACACCTATTCCAGCTCCACGTCAACTGACCTCTAGTGAAGAAGTAGTTGAAAAAGTGCCGCCTCCACCTCCGCCGGCACCTCCACCCCCATTCCTACTCCCAGAGGCCGCTGAAGGCGACAAAGGAAGCCCCAAAACTCTGCTTGAGAACATCAGAACTTTGTCGTCGCAGTTGAAGGGTCGAGAAGAAGTATTTGGAGACGATGCGGACTAGTGGCCGTAAAATGAGGCCAGGATTGCAATTTTTTGGCAATGAAAATTATGATAATTTTGCAAAGTGCTACAGCTGGTTATTTTCAGCAGCAAGTATCGATACATCGATTTTAGACATTTATTATTTAATATCCGAATAAATCAGGCAATTTTGATAGTCAGTGTTTTGCATTATGTTACCACTCCTGGAAAATACTATCTGACTTCAATTCCCAAATTCTTGAAAAATCGTTTCGATTTGCGATTTTCAGTCAGACTGGTCAACACTCTCGAACCAAGACACTGCCGAATTTTTGGCATCACTATCTATACCTCACAAATGGAAAAAGTGTACTTTACCTGAAAGCACGCCAAGCAGACAAACAGTTCCGATGCAACTTACCTGAAAATAACGAAAACAATCATTAGTATATTGATCTGACAGTATATTAAGACTAAGCTACCAATACTGAGTCCCGGAATCAAATCTGAAGTTGTTGAAAACAGTGTTTTAGTAGTGTTTTCATTGGTATTTTCAAGAGTCGATGGTTCAGTAGATGCGACTTAAGTGCAGTTGAGTGAGAATTCCGTACAATTCATGTAGTAAAGTGATCTTAAACTAAGCTCGGAAGTGGAATAATTTGGCCTTCGAATGAGTTGAATTAGCAATAGTTTAGCTGTTTTAAAAGTTTTTTAAGTTTTGATCAAAAAAGTAGAAGATTTCAAAAGCACCAATAACGGGAAAACATGTCAGAAGAATAATCTCCGAAAATACTAAGAGGAGTTCCGGGAGTTAGGAAGTAAGTTGAAGTTATATCTGAGACTGATTTTGATGCTTTGGATAGTGAGGCAGAAAAACCAAGTGTAAGACAAAGTTATAGAGAAAAAAACATCCATTGGTTCCGCCAAAGTACAAGTCTACAGACTTTTTAAAGACAGTACAAATGTAGACTAATACTAAAAAAGCCAAAAAGTAAGTTTCGGACCACCCCGCATAGATAAAATTGGCCTAAAAACATCGCATTTGCAAATTAAAATTGACGAGTTTTTTCCAAAAAACATTGATCACAAGAGATAGATACAACTTAGATGGTTTTAGCGCAGAAATGGGCCTCGTAGTATATGAGGCATGCTACTACCGATTAGCATTTTCGGCAGCAAAGGATTTTTTGTCCTGGTGTAGAAGGGCCTGGTATTCGGCTAAACTATGCAGAACCGCTCAGCTATTCCATCCCGACTAGCGCTATTAGAAACACTCGTTGCCCCGAAAGGGTGTAACCCTCGGGATTTTAACGGCTTTAAGGGAATGCCCGATATTGAGACCAGGAAGCTTGGCATGCTGCCAAAATCAATTCAGTTTTATACACACAGAAAAAAAGGGAAGGGGCGCAATGTATTTGGGTCACGGGCACATGATATTGGGGCTTAGACTCCGGATATTGCATACTCCGGGTATTCTGTCGAGTGGCTCTTAATTTGCCTTATTTTTTTAAGGCTTATTTTCCTTAACATATTCAAATGTTCGAGCAGTTTGCGGCCGCCCGCCATCCTCGAGAACAACATTTTTTTGCCCTGAATTCAGACAGAGAACTTCTGGATGCGCCCATCAATCACTGGTTAAAAATTGCCGATTCTTTATCCGGTTTTATCGGAGTGCCAGACAGGGATCCGCGTTGCAATAGCGATGGATATTGTTGGACGTGTCGTCGGATATTGTTCGACGACGTTTCGAACAAAGCGGGATTTATTTGCTTTGTGTACCGGGGTGATCAGTTGTGATTGCCCCCATTCTGTCTACTTTACATTCGCACAGCTGGTTGTCTCTCTGTTAATGTAAAGTGAGCAGATTTGAATCCCGATCAATCTATCAAGACATGCCTGGATGATTTTTTATGTAAAACGTGGCTCAAGTGACCAGAAAATTGCGGTTTACCATCACCAACAACGCATCTCCTTATCGCAAGTGGCCAGGTTCGGTATTAAAGACGGGGGTAGTTGGCCGGCTAGTAATGGAAAAATTGAAACTTTATACACTGCCAAATGGCGCATGAATCCACCCAGGGAAACTGTGTCAGATGGATGGCGGATCTGGCTCGACCAGGCGACAAACTCACCAAGAATGCTCAATGGGCTGAACCAACGGCTCGAGAAGTAGATGGAGGAGAAAACATTTAATGGATGTTGCTACGCTTTCCATCTTAAAGCCCCATACACCCATTGCAGTACATTTAGTAAGAAACTCATCAAAACGCATTTCAGATTCCTCCAAGATCAAGATCTCTTTGTTGCACTAATCAATGTGCATATTTTCCCGCAGCATTTATCCCAGTTAATAACGAAGCGAAACCATTTGCATCGATAATCAATTCGATTTGCTCTATTCGCCCGGGAAACAAAGCAAGGCTTGATGCAGCTTTGTTCACATCAACAAGGCAGTTCCAACGAAAATAACTCCTTGTCTAAATCGAACAAAAAAATGCACGCAACGAATATTCGGGGAGTAATTGTAGATAAATGCCCAGCAAATTGCGAATATTTGCGTCGGAAAATGTTTAAATCGATAGACTAGCCCGTCACATTTCTAAACTACAGAAAACCTGGAATTTATTTGTTGGCAGTAACATTTAATGAACGGATGAGGCAAATTGGACTAATTGTGAAAAAATAATTAATTTTATTTGTCGCAAATAAAATATCGACTTTAAATAGCCCAAAGACCATCACCGCCGTCGGATTCTGGACAAACTGACTACGTAAAAACCACAATATAAGAAAAATATTTACAAATAGATACCACTCTCGACTAAAAGAAAGAGTCCTTTTTACTGGATTCCTTCAAGGTCATATGGAATCATTACCTAACACTGACTTGGTGGATCGAACAGCGTCTGCAGTTTTGGCCGCTTGCCAGAATTATCCTAACCGATATCGAACGGAGTCTGACCGACATTTACGTTTTAGCATTGTTTGCCGACCATCACGAACACAAAAGTCCATTTCATTCCGCTTCTCCATGCTCGACCAAATGCATTACGCTAAAACGTAATGAATGTTTATCGCATCCAATCGGTTTGTTTTACTAATGCATAACTAAATGCCTACTTAATGCAAATCGTCCTCGATCTATAGGCATTTGCACAGCTACTTAGAAATGTGTTTAAAAAACTCTAATGGAAATTGCTCTCCATTAATGTTGCATACATTCGGCATCTGGTACCTTCGTCTTGGATTTCCTGGATGAAACGATCATTTTAAGGGTTTGACAAATTGGGGATGAAATCCCTCGTGCAGGGCATTGAGAAAGAGTTTCGTCACTTCAAAGAGACCTCCGTCAAATTCACGTGCCCATTGAAAATATACGCTCAAGACATGAAACTTGTCGATGAAAGTGGACATAACAGTGGAAAATCAATTGCAACAAATTCAAAATTTGGCTTTAAGACAACGGAAACTTTTGTTTCCCGTTATCAAATTGCATCTAATGGATGTTTCAACTGATGAATTGAGGACATCCATCAACCTGTCGCTCTATTCTCACTCAGTGCTGGTTAAGGCTCGCATTTCGAAACAGCAAATAGCACAAACAAACAGAGGACGGTGCATTCAAAATAAAACTCAAATGAGCGCAACAAAATAAAAAACCTTCCAGGTTATCTCGTGTCGATTTTGCTCTGTTCTAGAGCAAGTAAGCCCTAACATGAGGCTGGTTTCCTTTGCACATAGAGGATATTTTACGTCACTCGGTCACTGTGTGCTTGCTTGAACATGCCTGAATGCGATAGCGCTTCTTTTATGAGACAATCTCAAAAGTCTGAATAGAAAACGAGCACACAATGGCGTCTAGTTCACATTGTGTGCTCTACAACCTACAAGTTGCCCATAACTATTCTACTGTAAACTATTCTACAACAACAACGGATTATTTGGGTCAGTTTGGTAGAGAAAATTTTTAAAATAAAATAAAGAAAACCTATTCATTGGGGTTGATTTGTAATTAGAAATTTTCTTTGCAGATTCGTTGAGGAAATCCTATGCAACTTTTTTCCAGCGCACCTGACAAAACCAGGCAAACACTCTCCATTAACAGCATCATAATTTACCACAAAAAGCACTGCACTATGGCGATTTTTAATGAGCAAAATTGAAGGTTTTTATTAATTTATATTCGGATTCAAGCCCTTAATTACGTCGCATTTTTAGCGGTGCACAATTATTCGCCTCGCTTCGTTTCGCTTTTCACAAACCGTGAGTGATAAATATTCGAAGTGTGTCTCAGTTTCTCCCCCATCGTCCGAGCAGCGAATCGGAATTGCTGAACAGAACAATTCATTCTCCTAAGTAACGTAAGGGTGAGCTGATGCATTATTAAAACATGGATAGTCTGTCTACCTGATCCCTTACAAGGATTTGGCTCATTGGATTTCATTCTAAGGAAACTAAATGCACGATGTTAGTGCTGATGGAAACTCTTTTCTCGCCCACATCTGCTCTTAAAACCGCGATTTTTTGCCAATAATGCACAGTTAATAGACGCACGGTGGTAACTCTTTTGTAGCAACGATTCCATAAACATGACCGCAACTTGGCGGCGTATCTAAAGCGAACAGACACCCAATCATACAGTCGGTTGACGATGGAACGTCTAGCGAATCGAAAACTGGACAACACGACACTTTCCAGGTCATTTGTAATTCAATTTTGCGGAACTGTAACGCGCAGATAAGAGAGTGAATAATGTTTCGGAATATCGGCATGTTAATATGATCCATAAATTTCGCTGGAAGTGTTTGCATGCGAAAAAACAACGGGCTATTTAGTAGAAATGGTCGGTTTTTTCATCATCATTGCGCATACTAAATGAAAAATTTTAAAAGTAACATGTTCCCTTTGGAACCGCATTTTGAAACCTTATACCAACGTGAAACTGGAACGTTGTAACCTTGTTACAGAAAAATAACCGTTTATCCCACCTCTAGTATTTAGGGAACAGTAACAGCAAACCGGTAGTTTCGGCGGAATTAATTCGTTTCCACTTGATAGCATTATCGGTTTCACAAGAACGTACTTAAGCGTGCAAAGTACATGCTCAAAAAGAATAAAAATCGATCAGAAAACACCATCCAATGAACGTGAATGAATCGAAAGTTGCAAAAATGCAAATAACTGCAGGCTGGCGGGTGGC